TTATATACACACCCACACACCCACGCGCACACACACACACCCACACACACACACACACACACACACACACACACACACACACTGTGTGTGTGTGTGTGTGTGTGTGTGTGTGTGTGTGTGTGTGTGTGTGTGTGTGTGTGTGTGTGTGTGTACAGGGTGTAGAAAAAGTCCCGGACTCTTTAAATATCTTGAAAAGTAATTATTTTTGAGAAAAATGTTTTATATAAAAGTTGTAGGGTTGAAAATGGTCTATTGACTGACCTTATCGATTTGACCTTAGATTGCGCCATCAAAGTCAAGTCAAGGTCAAATCGAATTTTTTAAACGAAACATCTTATTTTTTATTTTAGAATCTAATAGTTGAGGCCGGGAACTTTCCAAACATTATAATAAAGCCTCTTTTTAATCAGTACTTTTCAAGTTATGAGAGTTGAAAATTATGGAACCGTCGCGACATTACCTAAGCTAAGGTGCTCGTATTTCTTTTAATGATGCAAGGATGGGATGGTCATAGGAGGTCTTGCGCAAGACAAGACTTTTCAATCAATCTTTTAGAAATAAAGATAATGATATATCTAAATCAACTAATGATATAACAATCAATCATTCATTTGAACATTTGTCATTCCTTTAACCCAGCTCGCTACCAGTTTTTAATTACTTTCTCGGCTAGATCTTACCGGGATCTGGAACTTCGTCAAGTTAGATCTCTGAATAGAAAACACATTTTTAACTTATCACAAAATTGATATCTCTAGAGTAAAACAAGAACAAATAAACAAAAACGAAACAAAAAATATTTTATCTTAAATTACATCATAAAAAGTTAAAGTCTGAATTGTAATGTGAAAAATCGCATTAGATATGTCATATTCCAGTATAGCGAACTAGGGTTAAAAGAATATTACATATAGCAAATACTCAAATTGGCGTCCTTCCGCAGTCTGACAATGTGCTAGATTACACCATTATACGATTATAAAAAAGATTAAGATTGCATTTCTACAGAATTTGCGAGGCATGATTCTAAATTCATTTATTATTCGTTGACGTAAATCATTAAAATTCAAGGTTTAGTATTATAAATTTTTCCCTTTAATATCCTCACAAAAAATAGTTGAGTGGATTTAGATCAGGCGAACATGCTGGCTATTCAATGTAACCCCTTCTTCCTATTCACTTATTCGGAAAAACTTCATTCAGATATTAGCATACTCGTAACTGTAGTGAGGTGGCGCCATCTTGCTGGAACCAAAATATCATTGAAATTTTGACGAGCAATGTTTTGGATTGCCGGAACTATTTCATCTTGAAGCATGGCTAAGTAATTGTCAGCGTTTAAATTACCTTCAATAAAGAAAGGCCCAATAATGGTTTCATTTAAAATTCTCATACGTTGACTTTTTGCTGATTCTAAGTATGTGCCTTGTACATCCAAAAAGGATTTTCATCGCTCCAATATTTGCAATTATGTCGATTTACATTCCCGGTTAGCTCAAAGGTGCTCCATCTGAAAAAATAATGTTGACTACAAATAAAAGATTTATATCGATATTTAACATCATACTTTCGCAAAATTCAATGCAACGATCAAAATCATCTTCACATTATTCTTGCGCCAGATGAATCTTATATAGATGAAATTTTTCCTTTTTTAGAATTTTATGAACTGACATAGGTCGTGTTGTTATGCAACTTTGCAAATTGAATTACACGGATCTTCGATAAAAGACTGTAGAACATTCAATCTTTTATCAGGATTTATCGCTATTGCTCGACTGCCTTGTCTTTTACAAAACTCATTTCTTCAAAATGTTGTACAATACGAATAACAATCGATTTTATAATTTTTCTTAGATATACCATTGTCCTCCATTCCTAAAAGTTTGATTGAAAAGTTCTATCACATGTGCGTAAGACCTCCTACGATCCTCGCTCCCATATACGCTCCTGTTCAATAAGCATTATAAAATATTTTAAATAAATACTTTATAAACGAAGATAACTATGTGGCGATCTCAGAAGCAATCTCAGAAGGAGTATCACGAAAAAGTAAACCTTCTCAATCGCAGGTCACAGAAAGAGTGAACTTGACAGGAGAGATCTTTAGCTTATATAGTCTCCAGCTTTGTTGAAAGAATGAGAAGGAGAGAGAGGGGATGGAAAAGAG